CTATAAAAAGTAATGCAACATGGATAAATCAAATAAGTGGATTAGGCTGACAATATTTAGTCACTCAATAGGCTCCGGTCATTAATAAAAACAGAGCCTATGCAGACTCTACAATAATTAGGCAATTTCTGGGATATGAAAGATCCATAGATTCCATTACACTACCAGCAACAAAATTGAGTTACTGGTTAATTTATTTAATTATTGGTGTAAAATGTGGAGGCTGGGCTACAATTTATTTATATGGACTATGGGGGCTGGGCTACAAATTAGTCTATAATATACATGGCTTCTCAAAGCCTAATTGCTGTTAAAACTTAACAACAGTAGGAGACTATGATAATGAGAGTCAATGAGTACGAGTATATAATGAGGTCATCCTGCAATTTGTGCACTGTTACATGTAGATCGAGCACTGAATTGTATACAATGGTTGTACCTCGGCATGTGCATGGTTATACTCTAGCTCCTAGTTATAATTATATTGGCTATCAAACGAAAAACATGGTTATATGAGCGAGATTTGCAAGTTTTGCAACTCTCATCTATTAAATTTTCCAGACCTGTATATAAAATAAACAGTAAAACAATTATTACATCGTACATACCATACAATCTTTGTTACTGTTTGTTTGCAGAACACTTAAAACCAGACAGAAGACTTAAAATCAAGATGTAGTGCGCGCCATTTGTTTAATATCATTTTGTTTAGTAATTTTTTAAAATAATTCAGAATTCCTACCATTTATATGCGATATACTTCATGTAAATTAAACTTTACGGCATTACGCCGACAGTTTCCGAATGCGTGACAATACTGTTTCTGGATATAGATATCAAACATAATTTTATAAAACATGTTTGTTGAAAAAGTTTAAATAAAATGCAAGCTAAATAAAGAAGTGTTGACAAGATACAAAACAAGACAATTTCACTTACAAGGGTGACAAGGTAATTTATAGGATTATAGCTTATTGTAACTGTATAAATACATTGTGCGTTTCTACTCCCTGGATGAACTGTTCATGAATATTGAGCTTTATATATGATTCGGGTTAAATACAATAATTATTAACCTAGCTTTATACAAAATGTACATTCATGTTCTAATATAATTGTATTTTGCTTCATACAATGCATATGTGTGCGGAAACATTACATTATTCAGCTCACTCCCCATTGGGGCATTTCAGTCACCGATTACATCAAGTATTACGATTACTTATGTTAGTCTAGACTATTTATCTTTACAACAATATAATGAGAATATGATATTACTTTTCCAGCTGTGTTTATTCTAACCCACCCTGCCAATTTTGCCCTGTGCATGGGAGGAAACCGGAGCAAAATATAAAATTCAATTACCTTGAAAACACCTAAATTGCAATCCCTAAAATTTAGAATTTTCTCTTAAATCGCACTAAATCGCAGTGCTTGAAAGTCCCAGTTTTTCCTTAAATCGCCTAAAATCGCCCAAAATCGCATTATATCACGGCGATTTAAGGCGATTTACCGCCCCAGAGTAGGCCTGTGATAAAGATCGGTGTGTGCTGATTTAAAATTCATATATAGACTACATGTACCTTTATGATGAAGGTACATGTACCTTTATGAAGCATTCTTTAACAAAATGTTTATTAATCTGTTCCTAATAAAAACTCAAATATTCGAGAAATCAATAAATACTTTATTTTCCAAAGTTAAAGGTAATGTTACAATTGTTTAACAAGGGATTAACAACTCTTTCATTTTGATTACACACCAGTTTAAACTCTTTAAAGCCAACAAACTTGCTTAACCAAAATGCTAAAGACGCTTCATTCATCTCCGCCACCGATGTAGTTAATGTCTGGATTGGGCCAATATCATCAGTTTCATGACCTCAGCATCGTCGATCTTCACTTCTTTAACCTTTCTAGCAACTCTCCAAGAATCAAGAATCTTCAAAGCCAACTTTGTCGCGTATCTTGTACTTGGCGGCATCGCTCTTTCGAGCAACGTTTGCTCCTCTTCAACACTTCGAGCGCTTTGAAACCGACTCATTAATGACACAAGTCAAATATTCAAATTTCCATTTGAAAACTCCGTTTAACGACTTGTATATTACTTGATAATTAATCCGGTCATTAATTTGCTTCCTGATCAATGAAGGGAAGAATCGTAAAACAATAGAACTATTGTAGTTAACATTTCTTATTATTTCATTGGGACACAAAACAAAAGGTGAATTTTAGAAGTCATTTAGGCTATGTTTACATTGTATCGGATCAGTTTTTGTTTCGATCGCGAAAAGTTACGGCCCGAGTGTAAACAGCTTCCGCCCCGCCCATCTATGCCGTCGTATTTTCTTCTATATATTATTAGAATAGTAAGTTGTTGTTTGCCAGATTCCATCCGAGTCACACATTGAACTAAAATTGCTCCGATTGGTGTTTACATTATACAATGAGAGCGTTGCAAAAACCGATCCGATACACCGCGTACCACTTCGAAGAGCGAACCGCCGCACCACCGGTTCGTTGCAGAAATTGAGACGATAACAGCATTTCATATGTAAACAGAAGCCCTATCCGGTATGGTTTTTGCTTCGGACGCAAAGTGATCCGATACAATGTAAACATAGCCTTATAAACCTCGTGATTGGCTTTATCGGTGCCTATAGCCGCTCGCCTTCGGCTCGCGTCTACATGCACCGATAAAGCCCTCTCACTCGGTTTATAAATAGTACATATATATATACATATACATATACATATACATATATATATATATATACATATACATATACATATACATATATATATATATATATATATATATATATATATATATATATATATATATATATATATATATAGTACAATCTGCAGACATGCATGTTTCGGCGTCCTACGCCTCATCAGTGCAGCTTGGTACACATCTAGACACGCAATGACCTTCGTATTGATATTGCTCTCCCAAGCGGCGCATGTGGTACAACACGAGCCATTAACGCATCCATTTTTATATATATATAAGCTTTGATATTTGGTATGGCAATGCCAAACGAAGTCTACTCGAGGGCGAAGGATCTAAATAGGACTTCGTTACTGTCTACTCGAGGGCGAAGGATCCAAATAGGATTCACAGCAAGTACTGTCGTATATATATATATATAAAAATCAATTTAAAAATCAGAGACTATGCAACTTCGACCATCAATTTATTAAAAAAACTAAAACATACTAAAATAAAAGCTTAAAAGTTAAAAACGTTTCGGCAGTTCTGCCTTCATCAGTTTATATTACACTTTAACAATGTCTAGCTTTTATAGCATTGGCAGGATCAAAATTACCATATTATGTAGTAAACACTGAAATTAATGAGGATCAATAGTAGGATCAAAATTACCATAATATGGCTTACAGGTTATAATTATAATAATTATTACAACTTGTAATGGATCCTATTTTTTGATCGAAGTTCAGATCTCTTATTGAGGCCATAAGGGCTAATTGTAGTCAGCTGTGCCATCCAATATGCTACTCTGGTCAATAAAGGATTATTGGCATTTTCGCCATTCACTAAGTCAACTTTTTCAATGCAATGACAATGGCTACAAATTCCAAATCCTTAAATTCGTGTTTATTTTCATTAAAATGAACGGCCATCTCGCAAACTTTCTTATCCGTAAGCATGCATGCATAGCTGACTTGTGGTTACGAAAACGGACTTTAAATTCAGTAGATGTCGATCCAACATACTGAACATTGCATTTTTTGCAGGAAATTAAATAAACTATGTTAGTGGTACCACAATTAATTTCTTGTTTGATTTTGTATGACCGACCGGTACTAAAACTCCTAAAACAGTCAGTCTCCTTCAAGAAATTATTACACAAATCACATTTTCGCTTACACTTGAAACAACCTGGCCTCTGATTTTCCGCCAACACATGCTGCTTATCAAACTTAGATGGTGCTAAAATGTCCTTAAGGTTTTTTGGCCTTCTGTAGGCAGTTATTATAGACTTGTCCGGAAAAATTTCTTTCCACTCAGGTGTGGAGATCAAGTGCTTATGCTTACTTATAATTTGTGAGATGTTAGGAGCCCTAGGATTAAATTCTGTCACAAAGGGATAAACCTTCTTTTTAGGTTTAACTTTAGCATGCAACAAATCTTTCCTATTCACCTTTAAAGCTTTATTAAATTCCTTATCAACTAATGATTTTGGATATTCTTGACGAACTAAATATCTTTTGTATTCCTCACACCTCTTGCTTAAATCACTATTGTCCGAACAATTTCGCTTAATTCTTAAGGCTACTCCGTACGGGATAGTATTCTTACATTGTATAGGATGTGCACTTGAGTATGGCAAATATAAATGACTATCTGTAGGTTTTGCATAAACATCAGTGGAAATAAAGCCATTCTCCAAGCGTAAGGTGAGGTCCAACACATTTAACTCAGTTTCCGAATAAACTAACTCAAATTTAATGGTAGGATACAGAGAGTTGATAAAATCAGTAAATTCCAGAAGCTTGGGCAAACCTTGCTTCCAGACATCTATAATATCATCTCTGTAGCGCCACCAAAGCTCTGGCTTTATATTTCCGCTAGTTTTGGCTAATCTATCTATTTCCCCCATAGCTATATCCGCATAACTACATGCATTCTTAGGACCCATAGCTGTACCATGTTTCTGTAGAAAATTCATTTCCCCAAACTGGCAGTTATTACATGCTAAGCAAATTTCAACTGCTTCAACAATACATTCAGTCGAGGGAAATTTATTTTCTCTCAAATCTAACGCTTTCTTGACTGCAGTTAAACCTAAATTATTATCGATGTTCGGGAACATGGCTACGACATCCCATGATACTAATAACGTGTCAGGTGGCAAATGACCCTTCTTATTTAGCTTATCTATTTCATTGATTAAATGCGTCGTGTCCTTAATAAAAGCAGGTAGTTTCTGGGCTAATGGTTTAAGGTAGAATTCTGTAAATGCCGAGAGCCTTTCTATGGCAGTCCCGCAGCAAGATGTGATAAGTCTAAGAGGGTTGTTGTTTTTATGTGTTTTAACATTCCCAAATGCTACTCCAGCTTTGGGTTCCAAATTAACAACCCAGTTAGCTATCTTATCTGTAATTTGATGCTGAACTAGCCATTTATCACTCCACTCTTTAACTCTATCTAAATGTAATTTGGTACGATTATCTGAAGTACTTAAATAGTGGAGTGGATTACTTAATTGCTCTAACATTTTCCCATTATACTCTTCTTTATCAATTAGCACAAACCTAGAACCCTTATCTTGACTCCTAATGATATTGTTAGAGTTGCATTTTAAATTTTTAATAGCTACCGTTTCTTCTTTAGTTAAATTGTCTTTCGCTTTTCTAATATTCCCAGGGTTCAGGATTTCTTTTCTAACGTTGGTCAGGAATAATTCGATTTCTGGATTGTTCGATTTGGGTGGAGTAGTGGGTAGATAGATTAGCCAAAACTAGTGGAAATATAAAGCCAGAGGTTTGGTGGCGCTACAGAGATGATATTATAGATGTCTGGAAGCAAGGTTTGCCCAAGCTTCTGGAATTTACTGATTTTATCAACTCTCTGTATCCTACCATTAAATTTGAGTTAGTTTATTCGGAAACTGAGTTAAATGTGTTGGACCTCACC